GCATTAGCACTCACTCTTTCTCTCCACACTGAGCCATTTCTGGAACACGGTCTCCTCCAATAGTATGTGTAAGACGCCGGGGTAGGCTCGCGGGTAACTGTGGGTGCTGCGGAGCTCTTTTTCGAACTGCAGCACCTCGTCCACTAGGTGGCAGAAGAGAGCATCGTCGTAGAGCAATCGAGGAGCGTCGTGGGCGAGCTTCTCCTGCGCCAGTGTCAAGAGTCCCCTGCACAGCTCCACCTGGAGGACAGATTGATAAGACTTTAAGGCCTACAGATGGCTTTGCACTAAAGCGGAATTAGCTACAGATCTTCTCATTCATATTGTGATGTACATTTAAGTGACATGTATTATAGAAAAAAAAGGGTTCTATCATAGGTTGTTGATTGGATGGAGGCCGATCTGAATGCAAGCTTGCAGTCAATTGTAAGAAAGGGACGGGGATTTGAGAAATCTGCCATACGTCACCAAAGAGAAAATGGTTGATTTACTGGAAGACTGAGTTTTTGATTAAAAAGTACATGGTTAAATTTTTAAAAAATCAATAATATGCATCTAGAAAAACCGATGCAATGATGAACATACCCTTGCATTAACTTTGGCTCCAGCACGATCCAATATAGGCTGAATCTTCTCATCCATGAAGTTGGAGCTGTTTCCCATCCAAATGAGGACTTGGGTCAAATACCACTCTGGCTGTAAAGGTGAAAGATTTAAGTTAATATCATATCATTGATGTACATATGATAATTTATCAATAGTTTGCCTACTCACACAAATGTGTAATCGCTAACCTTGCTTAAGTTGTTGGTCTGGCGGTTCCCAGTGAAGTGATATCTGAACCTCTTACTGAGGGGAAGCAGCATGATCTGAATGGGCAATGAGAGTGGAGGAGTCTGGGACTGCTCTGGACGAGACGGAGTTTCTTTCTTCTCTGATATAAGGTCATCGCTTCAACACCCGTTAAGGAAAATTACCAGCTTTGCACCTTAAATAAAAAGAAATAAACAAATAAAATAATAACCTAAATAAATCTCAGAATAAGTAAAAAAAATACTGTAAATAAAATAAAATAGTTGGTCTTAACAGTATCTTGTGTAGTTTATCTCACACGACCAGCTTTGTATATTTAAAAAAACAAGAAATAAAAAATAATGCATAAATAAAAAAACATAACATAATAATATAATAATATAGTTGGTCTTAATAGCATCTGGTGTAGTTTGTCTTCCACTTTAAGCAAATTGTTGTGAGCCCAGATCAAACAATCCAGTGGAGTGTATTGAGAAAATTAATCTGTATTTAATAAATAAAAATAATAACTAAAAATACTTGTATAAAATAATTAGTCTTAACAGCATCTGGTGTAGTTTGTCTCACACTTTAAGAAAATCTTCATATAAAATAAATGACCAGCGTTGTATCTTTAAAAAGAGAAAAATAAATAAATAAAAATAATTATAAAATAAATCAATAATACTGTAAATAAAATAAAACAGCATCTCATATAGTTTGACTCACACTTTAAAGGGATAGTTCACCCAAAAATGAAAATGCTGTCATTAATTACTCATCCTCACGTCGTTCCAAACCTGTACGACCTTCATTCACCTTTGGAACACAAAATTAAGATATTTTTGATGAAATCCAAGAGCTTTCTGACCCTGCATAGAGAGCGACGCAAGTGACACATTCAAGGCCCAAAAGGACATCGATAAAATAGTCCATGTGCTTTACTCCCATGAATGCAACACAGAAGAGAAGAAATTGTTGAATAAAGCCATTATTTTTGTTTTCTTTGCGCACAAAAAGTATGCTCATAGCTTCACAACATTACGGTTGAACTACTGATGTCACAGGGACTATTTTAACAATGTCCTTACTACGTTTCTGGGCCTTGAATGTCTCAGTTGCGCTGCTGTCTATGCAGGGTCAGAAAGCACTCAGATTTAATCAAAAATATCTTAATTTGTGTTCCGAAGATGAACGAAGATCTTGCGAGTTTGGAACGACATGAGGGTGAGTCATTAATGGCAGAATTCTCATTTTGGGTGAACTATCCCTTTAAGGATATTGTTGTGACCTCAAATCAGTCAAACCCCTCTGGTTATGCACACCGAAACAGTCCAGTGGAGTGTATTGAGAAAATGAATATATAATTAAGGTGGATTTAATTCCAGAAGATTAAGGATACGAGGTCTGGAGAGAGAGAAGTTGGGAGACCAGTAGCTCCAGCTGGCTGTTGAGCTCCTGTGCGTTGGCTGGGGGAGAGAGGGTCTGTGTCGGTGGTGAGATGAACGGCCAGTGGAACTGCGTCAGGACTTCCTCAAAATCACTGAATCAGAACCAAACATTTAGTGTGAACTTTTAAATATTTATTCATTTAAACATACAATAAATAAGTCTAATACCTGGCCAGTTTGTCTTTAAGGATCTTGTGCCAAAAGCGAAGTGTTTCTCTGAGGAAAGCCTGCAAATGGCTACAGCCTGACTCCCGCAAACCCATATCCAGAGAGGCCATCCTGTCTATTGCACCGACCGCATCCCACATGCTATTGGTCATCAGATACTGCTGGATGCTGTCACTAATGCAACACAAAAGATGTGAAGTGGAACCTGTGTTAGATACCAGTATAAACCTTTAGTGCCCTCCAAAATATCTGGACACACAATTTAGATTTTAACCCTTACCTGAGCTCCTCAATACGAGCCAGACATTGAAGGTACTTCATATGCCTCTCTAATGTGTCTAGCTGACCCAAGACCTGCCCGATGCTGTCGGCCCAGACCTGTGCGCCCTGCAGATGCTGCTGCAAAGTGTTGGACAAAAGTCTCTCCTTCTCCAGTAAAGACTCCAGCTTCACTCGGGACTCCTCTGCCGTGGACAGGGCAGCCGACACACGCAACGGCACTGAAGAGGACACAGTCAGCACCTGCATGCACACACAAATGCTGGTTTACAAATAAATAAAAGTAATCCTAAAATAAATACATTTCTATGATTTTATAAATAACACCAAAATACTAAAATAATAATTAATAACAGAAGTATAAATATATAGAAAACAAAAATACTAATAAATACATAAATAATACAGAAAAATAGAAAATAAATTATACATATATGGGTCGAAGAGTAAAAAATATATATATATATATATATTTTTTTTTTTTGAGCATAAAAAATTACTATACATTTTTTCAAACTGCTAGAAATTTTAAATAATTTAAAATATAAAAAAATTAAGTACGATCACTTTTTTCTTTTATATATTTTATTAAGTACAGGTCAGAATAAGTATGCGTTTCATTTTTACATAAATATATATATGTCACGCTGAATGACAATGAAACATAATTTCACCAATATACTACCATTTTATTTTCACAAAAGTTATTTAAATCATTAAAGTAGACAATTCGCTTGCATTTAATATGCTTTCAGCGTATGTAAAATCATTTTTGGAAATTTATTTTCATGCAGTCACAAATAATAAATAAAATAGAAATACTTACTAAATAAATAAATAGTCAAGCATTTGGTCTAGTTTGTCTCACATGTTAAGCCAATCGTAATAAATAAATAAAAATAATCACATGTAATAAAATGGCTTTACTCTTTTTTTTATTCTTTACAACACTTAAATTCTGTTAACGGAGTCTCTGTGGCTTTATTTACCTGCTCCTCCAGCTGCTTGTTCTCTAATGTCAATTGCTCCAAAAGCCCCGACACCTTCTTTAGCGACTTCAGGTCGCCACCTATCTCTTTCTGAAGTGCAACTACATCATCTGTAAAGTTTCCATCCTCTGAAGGAGATTCAGAGTTCCTGCTGTCTGTACGGTCTAGATGAGAAGGAGCATTGCTGCTGTGCTTGTTGTGCTGCATCACAGGCGCTGCCATGTTGCTCGACACGTCATCAGTGGATTTTGTCCGCTGCTCCCTCTAGTGGCAGAAAGTACTCCAAAATGCATTTTGTTTTATAACTTTATTTTATTTTTTAATTATTGTTTTAAATCTTGTACTTCTGCAAAAATGATAACAAAAATACTTTTTCACACGTTTCATTGACAGCAACTAGGGCTACCAATAAGCATTAATCACATTATTATTATGATAATAATCAGGATAAAATAACGAATCATGGTTAAAATCGTCATTTTAAGACACTGTACCCTTTTTAGAGAAAAAAACAGCAAAGCTGTTCTTACTCAGCATTTGACAGAAGTAGACCTTGACATATACGCCTATATTTAAAATATATACTATTTTATTTATTAATTTATTCCAATGGAACGTAATTTACTTTAAATAATTTGAACAATTTTTGAAATGTTTTAAATGTAAAAATTTAAACCGTAAAAAAAAGTTTTGACTCATGAATATTAATATGCGTGATTACGTAACTCAACTCGACAGGCACGTAATCAAAACCGTTTGCGTAATCTAATTAACATTCATGAGCTCAACCTTTGACGACGATGTTTGTGGCGTTTCTAGTTTTTCTTCCTGGCAGGCATGGATAAATACATTAATTTCATAACAAAACGACACGTATGTGTTTAGAAACAAGTTTATGCTAACGTATCACTATATAGTTACAACAAAAGTGTAAGACAACGTAGACGCAACAGCTTTAAGACTCAAGTCATCAAACTGACGTAAACAATGAAAAATTAGATCAGTTGATACGTCCTTTTTTATTGAACAACCATAAAATATAAATATCGCGGCATAGGTGCCTCTATATTTACATTTTAATCGAAAAGTGCCATATTTGCCACGCATGCTTTGTTTGTGCGTTCCTGCATTGATAACATTATTTTTGGCTTGCGTGCCAGCAACGGAGACACTACTGTCACCACGTTTAGTGCTGTAAAAGCAGTTGTACTGTATTTCATGTAATTTCCTAGTATTGTGGTCGTGCAAAAGACATAAATCGCTCAAAAATGTTATTTCTTGGCTCATGTAGTTGCAGGAGGCGCTGGCGTAAGTGCCTGCAGGCCTCTGTGATGCACTCCTCTGGTTTGAGGTTTCCTGACATGACTCTGACGGCTCTGCTTGCCTTGGATGGCAGAAAGGACATAAGTTGTTAAGGATCTTGAGGTTTGAGAGTGTTTGCCAAAGTCAATTCTGGCCTGAGCAGCAGCTGTATGAAGTTTCTTAAACTGGCACGTTGCACCAGTCCAGCTTAGCATGGCAGTCAGCATCACACAGTGCCTCCAAGTATAGCACCCTGAAAACTGGACCCCTTCTTTTGTAACAGTATCCAGATGAATACTGGTGAGTCTGTTGTGTGTTTTGGGCTTTATTAAAAAAGTACACACACAAACACATATTATACACATAAATAATATTATTGTAGTAATTCATATAAATAAAATTATACAAATTTAAACACATTTATGCATATAATTTTACAAATAATTAAATTATTATCAATAACTCGGTACATATAAAAATATGATTTATTATTGCAATAAAAAGTATATTTTTAATGTTATACATTCAGTGTCATACAATGTAGTAATACTTATATCTATAATTATATTTATAATATAATTATATTATATTTATAATATTAATAATAAAAATACTATTATAAACTATACATTTGTAATTTTTATTGTGTGTATTTTTAAAATAATATATTATTCTAAATTGAAAATATATGTTTTAAAATATAAGTAATAATATTTATATGTGCATATACGTATATGTATATATTCACACATGTGCGTATTTAAATATAATAATATTTAAAATACTTAATTATTAAAAATAATTTATTAAAAATAAATAAATATATATTATTTATTTATTATTTAATAATTGTATTTATACATTTTTTGTAGAGTTAATTTTTTTTACCAGCCTCTGAATACTACAAAAAGCTTTGTGAAACGTTTTCTCTTCCCTTGAAAAGCCTATTTATAAGTCTATTCCTGTTTTAACGATGCACAATTACATGGTTTATTCAATTCAGCTTGTTTTTTTCTTACTAGGTCATCATGACCTACCAGTTGAAGCACCAGCACCCTAAAGGTATTTGTAACATATCTGCATTTTCAAGCTGTCAGAAGAAAATGAAAAATTAGTCAGCCAAGTGAATCCGTGTATCATTCGATCATTCGTTTTTTGATTTAATATTGAAAGTAGAAAAATTAGAAACCGGCTCCTTTTTCGTTTTTTCGTTTTTTTCCAAAAAACGAGAAACGAGAATTCAGTTTAAATTTTCGTTTTTCGTTCATGGGTGGAAAAATGAATAAACAGCTTGAATATTCGATTTCTACATGTGGGCGGGAATTAAACGCCCCTTTCTGCCCTCAGCCGAAGATCAAACCGTGCCATCATCAGTTCTTCCGCAGTATCACGCAGCAGAATACAGCAGAAAGGGGCGTTTAATTCCCGCCCACGTGTAGAAATCGAATATTCAAGCTGTTTATTCATTTTTCCACCCATGAACAAAAAACGTAAATTTAAGCTGAATTCTCGTTTCTCGTTTTTCGTTTTTCGGAAAAAAAACGAAAAAGGAGCCGTTTTCTCATGTTTCTACTTTCAATATTAAATCAAAAAACGAATGATCGAATGATACACGGATTCAAGTGTACTACAGCCAGACAGTGTTATCGTCAGGGGAGGGGGCGATCGCGAACTTTGTCCCGGGACCGTTGATGAGCATAGCCTACTTATTTGTCCCCAGGGGAGAGGCGGCCCACCCATCAAAATCTGGTTCCAGGCCATGAGCATTTTAGCGATGACAACGATAGAGTGACTACCTTGAGCTCCCAGTCTGAGTCAGAGAGTGAAGCCAGGCAGTGCTCACAGCCCAGGAAAATATGAATCGACTAGGGAGACGGGACTGTTTAGGGAAGCTTTTGTACCATCCCAACCAACTCAGCTCCTTTTGTACAGTTCATACCAAAGACTTAAACAAAATTTACATATTTAGTTCTAAGTATTTCTCCAAAAAAAGAAAAAAAAAAACTCAAGTCGTTACTGCGATAGATGCTATCTGATGTAAAAAATGTGGGTGGCCAAGAGTCAGAGTTACCTGAGGGTGATATATCACTATGTCTGTCACCATCCTTGTTGCTGAAACAAGATAATTGATCTCACTGTGAGGTAAAGGTCTAACAGTCTTTTATTGTTATGTTTTTGTCATGTATACCCATGGATACATGTCTCATGTTTTTTTTGTTTTTGTTTTTTTTAAACAGGTCCAGTATGTATGATATGGAACCATATGCACCATCATAAGGTACAGTAATCTCTTTCACTATAGGACAAAGGTCATATTACTACAAACATCCAGCAGTACTCCATAATCCCACATTACAGTCTGTCTGTGAAGTATCAAGAGTCCTTCTGAATGCTTCAAAGTGGCAGTGGGTGACCAGTGAAGTTAATGCTATTCAAAACAGATCTGGGAGCATGTTTTTCCCACATTCCTCACCCAGCTGTTTGCGTGTGAATAGAGGGGCTGCACAAGTTTGCGTGAGAGATTGTGTGTGTGTGTGTCAGTGTCCTTGTGTGTCTGTTTTCCTGTGTCATAGTTTGGCATGCAAATATCACTGCCGCTCCATCTGAAAGCACGTGCTGGAGATTTACTACTAATCACAGGAGCGGCTTTA